ACAAAATCATAAATTATAATTTAATAAATAATCATAAAAAATAATAATATAATAATAAATTTAATTCAATAATATAATCAAACCAAAAACACTGAAATTTGAAATATAGCGCCAAGTTCACACATCACTGAGCAAAGTCGCAGAATCGTTTTCAGTGTCTGATGAGGAATTTCCCCCACGAATCATTATCACTCAATTCTGCAAGTGGTTCTGATTTACTATCGCTGTTCTCTAGCCGGTCTAAAGCCACTTTTGACCTAATGGGACACTTTTTGGACGCCATGGACGTTTCTCAGTTTCCAGGCAGAAAGAACAGTAAAAATGCAGGCAGGGGCGCCGGACAAAGCACTCGGGACAAAATGTATGTGAAATGCATTGAAACAGCAATGACAGCAAAAATTACATTTTTTAAAAATTTCAAATTTCCCGCCGGAACACGGAAGCCGGCATCGGCCGGAGGAGATGGCCGGGGGACGCTGCAGCACTCGGGACAAAATGTATGTGAAATGGTTTGATACAGGAATGTTATACTATGTGATTTTAGTGAATGTCACTTTTGTCATTTTAAAATTTCCCGCCGTTCCGTCCTCCGTATGTCCCGACGCTTGCAGGGAACGGAACCCAGATGTCAGATGCCAGCATCTGTCTGATTACATTGCCGGGGACACTGCAGGGGGGACATCGTGGGAGCGCAGGACAAGGTAAGTGATCGAGGGATCGCGGAGCAGCGTCGCATGGTGTTCCTGAGTGTAGCTCGGGGTTACCGCTTGTGGTACTGAAACTTTACCCCGAGCTACACTCGGGAATACCGCCAGGGAGGTTAAATGCACAGTTCCAGAACGAGGCTAGTTAGGTTTCCCACCAGAATGCCCTCTCCCCTTATCTGGCCCATGGGGTGTAGGATTACTCACTGTTGCTCACCTACAAGCTGGTTGGGTTGTTAGCTGCCTTCAGGCCTCCTGCTTGTCTGGTTCCTTCCTTGGCTCTACAGGTAGTCCTCTCTCTGTGGACCAGTGAGGTCAAGTGATCCTCCTTTCCAACTCCTGCCTGTAGGTAGGCCCCTTCCCACTGGGCCCCCCTCCCAGGCTCCTGCATCCAGCCTCTTACTCCATCTTCCACACTTTTCCTGCTGCTGAGCTCAGTCATACTTAAGAGCTGTCCTGCCCCCATGCCAAGTGTTCTGCTGCGGAGTGGTCAGGATCCCTTAAGTATGCAGATCAGCCCCTCCTCACCCCTTCCCACTGCCTTCTAGAAACTTCTCGCATCTCTAGAACAGGGGGAGGCATCAGGGAACTGATCTGCAGAGCCCTCAGCCATGTCCTAAGAAGACCTGGCTGACTCATGCCCAGGCTGCTAGTTAGCCTTCCTCTTTAGAAAACCTAGCTAACTAGTGGGGTGCTATACAAACAACAGAATATTTCCCAGCACATTTACCAGCTACCTGGCAACAAAACCAAATCAACCGTGCATTTGTTGCAGGCTAGCTGGTACGTGTGCCGGGAAATTTCTAATGTGCAAAGCCTCTTCTATGTGCACCGTAGTGTAGAGGCTAGTTATAGATTGGGGTGGTTGCCATTTATCTGCATATTTATGGGTTGGCCAACTCACAAAAAACAATGCACTTCTTGTGTGGCTGATCTTACTTTAATGGTTGTTAGGAATGGAGGCAGAGTGACTGCAAATTCAGTGCTTTCTCGCTCTAGTCAAATCTCTCAATTTATTACAATAACAATAATAAAACGCAAAGTCACAACAAGAATTGTTACATCAGTGCAGTAGTAGCTCAATATATGCATTCACTGAAAATACCCTGTGCTATGCCTTTACATAGATATAGATGACGTAAAGCCTGCCGCCGGCCAAAACTTATTTTACTGAACAGAGTTGAGAAGGTTTAGAACCGTTGCCTGGTTTTCAGTGTTGTCCCCATTCTGGCAACAGCCAAGCAATCATTTGCCCCAGAAATTGGTTTATGCAGTTTTTTTACTGAGTTTGTTATTTAATGAAAAATACTATGACGGGGCTGTACTAAGTGCTTCCTGGCTAGGGATGAGCCAAACTTATCTACGGAATTGGCTCAGTGCGAAGTAAGGCAGTTTTGGCAAACGTTACTAAAGTTCAGGTGATGAATCCATTCCATTTGAAGTCAATGGGAAACAAATGTTTGGGCTATATTCTAGGTTAATAGGGGGGGGGGGGCTGGTTTAGCTTGAACTAATGTACCTCTGCATATACCATACCTATCGGATCCCTCTTGAAGCTGGAAATCACTGCAATAGGCACCACCACCATGTGATCTCCACTAGCTTCCGGATCCTGTGCTGAGTGGCTGCCCTGCTGCATTGTGAACACAGTAGGTCGTTAAAGTGGAGTTTCAGCCCTTTTTGTGTTTATTAAAAGTCAGCAGCTACAAAAACGTTTAATAAACACACGCTTACCTGTCCCGGAGTGCAGTGATGTTCTTACTCTCGGCATCCCTGCTCCCCTTCTCTCCTCCCTGGCGTTGGCATCTCTACTCTGGGCACCAGGCTGTGACAGCTTGCAGCTTCACAGCCGGGTGCCCACTGCGCATGCGCGAGTCGCGCTGCACTTCCTAATTGGTCCGGCAGTATTCTGGGACCTGTTAAAGTTCCCAGGAGACTGCGGGAGGGAGGAAGGTACTGAACATACACTCACTTCGCCGCGGTGAACTGAGCCAGAAGTGGGAGCGGGTACCTGTCAAAAACAGGTATCTGCTCCCCCCCAAATATGGCAGTGGCAGGGGGGGAGGAGGTAAATAAGCGGAGCTTCTACTTTTAAGTGGAACTCTGCTTTAACCCCTTGACACTGATGTCACACAAATATGCGTCCTCAAAGAACTGGGCTTTTTTCCGTGGGCTGCATATTTACATACCTGTCTTTGTGCTGGGAGTGCGCCGCACAGCACGCTCTCAGCACAAACACCAGGGTGTCACTGAGAGCCCCGGGTCCCCTTCTAACAATTTGGACCCAGGACTTCCAATTCTGGGCCACATGATCGCTGTGATAGCCTCTGATTGGCTATTACAGTGATCAGTCACTGTGAAGCCCACCCCCCTTTTTTTTTACTCTCTGAATAGAGGGGAGAGATACATTGTATCTCTCTCCCCTTGCAAAGACAAAAAAAACAACTGTTTGTAAAAAAAAAAAAATCAATAAATATAAAAAAAAAGAAAAGAAAAAAGAAAGAAAAAATACCTACATCAAGGTTTGATCTAGTTGAGTGCCAGGGTTAGTGTTTGGGCCAAGGTCAGGGTCAAAGGTCAACTTTTTTTTTTGGGTTGTTCTTTGGTGGTGTCAGGGCTCCCAGGTGTGACCAGAGGTGTGTGGCTGACGCAGGGAAACGCAGACCTCAGATATGTTATAAACAATATAATTTATTAACACTAACAATACAAACATAAACGCAGTGCAATACTAAAACATAATACAGTGCAACCAAACCAAACCAAACTAACCACCCACAGATAACAGTACATACAAGCAAGTGTCGTCAGGCAGGCCGGGTCAATATCAATAGGGCAGGTAGGTACAGGGGGGAGCAAGCGGAGATTGGTCGGGGTCACAGGCCAGGTTCAGCAGGTAGCAAGCAGCGTAGTACAGAGGGTCAGGCAGAGGGATGGTCAGGGTCACAAGCCAGGGATCAGAACAGGTAGCAAGCAGCGTGGTACAGAGGGTCAGACAGAGGGATGGTCAGGAGCGAGCCGGGATCAGAGCAGGAGAAGTCAGCAGCGGTTCAGAAACAGGATGCAGGACAGAAACAGGATACAGGGCCCAGGACAAACACAACACCAAGGCAGAGTCTGCAAGTCTGGCCATCCCTTAAATACACCAGTATCATCAGTTCCAGGTGTTAGCTGGCTGAAAGGTTGAGTCTCTGATTGCTGGGAGCACCCGCTGGCCAGCCCTGGTACTGCAGATCAAAAGGCAGGTGAGTCCCACCATTGCTGGCCAGTCCATTCCTGACAGTACCCCCCCCTCAAGGAGCGGCCTCAGGACGCTCCAAACAGTCCTAGCTGGGCAAAATGTTCCACCGCCCGGGTCTGGTAACTGGCGGGATATCAAAGACTGGCACACCGGGCAGGACTCCGGGCAGAGGCACATCGGGCTGGACTCCGGGCAGGGGCACATCGGGCTGACTCCGGGCAGAGGCACACCGGCAGAGGCACATCGGGCTAAACTCCGGGCAGCGGCACATCGGGCTGGACTCCGGGCAGAGGGCACATCGGGCTGGACTCCGGGCAGAGGCACATCGGGCTGGACTCCGGGCAGAGGCACATCGGGCTGGACTCCGGGTAGAGGCACATCGGGCTGGACTCCGGGCAGAGGCACATCGGGCTGGACTCCGGGCAGAGGCACATCGGGCAGGACTCCGGGCAGAGGCACATCGGGCAGGACTCCGGGCAGAGGCACATCGGATTACCAGGCGAAGCAGCAGGCAGCGGGCCCCCGGGCGGAGCAGCGGGCACCGGGCCCCCGGGCGGAGCGGCAGGCACCGGGCCCCGGGCGGAGCGGCAGGCACCGGCCCCCGGGCGGAGCGGCAGGCACCGGGCCCCCGGGCGGAGCGGCAGGCACCGGGCCCCCGGGCGGGGCGACAGGCACCCGGCCCCCAGGCGGGGCGACAGGCATCGGGCTCCCAGGCGGGGCGACAGGCATCGGGCCCCCAGGCGGGGCGGCGGGCGCCTGACCCCCAGGCGGGGCGACAGGCATCGGGCCCCCAGGCGGGCGGCGGGCGCCGGACCCCCAGGCGGGGGGCGACAGGCATCGGGCCCCCAGGCGGGGCGGCGGGCGCCGGACCCCCAGGCGGGGCGACAGGCATCGGGCCCCCAGGCGGGGGGGCGGCGGGCGCCGGACCCCCAGGCGGGGCGACAGGCATCGGGCCCCCAGGCGGGGCGGCGGGCGCCGGACCCCAGGGCGGGCGACAGGCATCGGGCCCCCAGGCGGAGCGGCGGGGGGTGCCGGACCCCCAGGCGGGGCGACAGGCATCGGGCCCCCAGGTGGAGCGACAGGTCTCGGGCCCTCAGGCGGAGCGGCGGGCGCCGGACCCCCAGGTGGAGCGACAGGTCTCGGGCCCTCAGGTGGAGCGGCGGGCGCCGGACCCCCAGGTGGAGCGACAGGTCTCGGCCCTCAGGCGGAGCGGCGGGCGCCGGACCCCCAGGCGGAGCGACAGGTCTCAGGCCCCCAGGCGGGGCGGCGGGCCGCCGGACCCCCAGGCGGAGCGACAGGTCTCGGGCCCCCAGGCGAAGCGGCGGGCACCGAGTCACCAGGCACGACAGTGGGCTCCAAGTCAACTGGCATCAGGTCATTTGGCTCGACAGCGGGCACCGCGTCATCTGGCAAGGCAGTGGGCTCCGAGTCAACTGGTATGACCACGGGCACTGGGTCAGACATTGGATCGTCTGACTGGACAGCGGGCATCGGGTCACCAGGCATCAAGTCATTTGGCTCGACAGCGAGCACCGCGTCATCTGGCAAGGCAGTGGGCTCCGAGTCAACAGGCACGACAGTGGGCACCGGGTCATCAGGTACCGGATTGTCTGGCTCGACAGCGGGCATCGGGTCACCAGGTATGACAGCGGGCACTGGGTCACCAGGCATCAGGTCATTTGGCTCGACAGCGGGCACCGCGTCAACTGGCAAGGCAGTGGGCTCCGAGTCAACTGGTATGACCGCGGGGCACTGGGTCAGACATTGGATCGTCTGACAGGACAGCGGGCATCGGGTCACCAGGCATCAGGTAATTTGGCTCGACAGCGGGCCACCGCGTCATCTGGCAAGGCAGTGGGCTCCGAGTCAACAGGCACGACAGTGGGCACCGGGTCACCAGGCATCGGATTGTCTGGCTCGACAGCAGGGCATCGGGTCACCAGGTATGACAGCGGGCACTGGGTCACCAGGGATCAGGTCATTTGGCTTGCCAGCGGGCACCGCGTCATCTGGCAAGGCAGTGGGCACCGGGTCACCAGGTATGACAGCGGGCTCTGAGTCAACTGGCACGACAGCGGGCACCGGATCAGGCACCGGATCATCTGGATCAACAGCGGGCACCGAGTCAACTGGCCCAATAGGATCGCCGGGCTGGATCAGTCCATCACGCTGAGCAGCGGCATCAGGCTGAATGCAGGCTTCAGGCTGAGCAGAGGCTTCAGGCTGAGCAGAGGCTTCAGGCTGAGCAGAGGCTTCAGGCTGAGCAGAGGCATCAGGCTGAGCAGAGGCATCAGGCTGAGGAGAGGCATCAGGCTGAGGAGAGGCATCCGGCTGAAGAGAGGCACCCGGCTGAAGAGAGGCATCCGGCTGAAGAGAGAGGCTTCAGGCTGAGTAGAGGCTTCAGGCTGAGTAGAGGCTTCAGGCTGAGTAGAGGCTTCAGGCTGAGTAGAGGTTTCAGGCTGAGTAGAGGCTTCAGGGCTGAACCACGGAAGGCAGGCTCACCGTTTGGATACTGGCAGGATGGTATTGGTTGGAAAGAATTTTCGCTTTTTTCTGGTTTTAACTACTGGAGCACTGCAAGTAAACGCAGGTCTGCAAACGAATGGAGCAGCTGGAGACAGAGAGAAAACTGGAGGATGGAACAGGAGAGGGAGCAGTTGCTACAGAGGGCTTTTTTACAGGGTTAAAGGCAGGATAGGTGCAGCGAGTGGGAACAGGGTACTGACATGCGGTAGATAGCCAAGTATACTGGGCTGTAACTGTAGGAGCTGGGTGGGAATACAGGAGTAGAGTTAGAAGCAGGACTGGGTTTTTGTAAGCTGACTGAGGCTGGGTGCAACAAGTCTGTCCATGTCTGCAGTATGGGTTGAACAAAGCTGAGCTTACACAAAGCCTGTCTGGTCAATGACTGCACTGCGTTTTATACAATCTCTTAGTGTCTGTGGTGAACATGTGGAATAACGCTCCAGAAAGTAACCCACATCATCCTCTAATAACCACACCAGGGACTCTACCTGGTCTGCACTAAATGGTGGCAAAAATTCATCCCTGCATTCGGGGGAACCAGATGAAACCAACTCAGCACAAACCTCAATCAAAGGCTGCACCTCAGAGAACTCTGTGCCCTGATCTACTAGAACATGAGCGATCCGTATACATTCTAGTAGTTGATCCCGGGGATACTCCTTCAGAGTTTGATAAGCATACTCCCTGTCATCAAACACTAGCAGAGATAAATACACAACCTCATCCAGATCCATCCTTCCCAGCAACAAGCCAAGATGGCTTCCCTGTGCAGCCACTTCTGGTCAGGATTGGCCTTGGTGTAATGTCAGGGCTCCCAGGTGTGACCAGAGGTGTGTGACTGACGCAGGGAAACGCAGACCTCAGATATGTTATAAACAATATAATTTATTAACACTAACAATACAAACATAAACGCAGTGCAATACTAAAACATAATACAGTGCAACCAAACCAAACCAAACCAACCACCCACAGATAACAGTACATACAAGCAAGTGTCGTCAGGCAGGCCGGGTCAATATCAATAGGGCAGGTAGGTACAGGGGGAGCAAGCGGAGATTGGTCGGGGTCACAGGCCAGGTTCAGCAGGTAGCAAGCAGCGTAGTACAGAGGGTCAGGCAGAGGGATGGTCAGGGTCACAAGCCAGGGATCAGAACAGGTAGCAAGCAGCGTGGTACAGAGGGTCAGACAGAGGGATGGTCAGGAGCAAGCCGGGATCAGAGCAGGAGAAGTCAGCAGCGGTTCAGAAACAGGATGCAGGACAGAAACAGGATACAGGGCCCAGGACAAACACAACACCAAGGCAGAGTCTGCAAGTCTGGCCATCCTTTAAATACACCAGTATCATCAGTTCCAGGTGTTAGCTGGCTGAAAGGTTGAGTCTCTGATTGCTGGGAGCACCCGCTGGCCAGCCCTGGTACTGCAGATCAAAAGGCAGGTGAGTCCCACCATTGCTGGCCAGTCCATTCCTGACAGGTGGTAGGTTATGGTAGTAACAAGAAACACACAACTAAATCAAACTTTGATAATAATCCTAACATTGACGTACAAAGCTGTCCACCATACTGCCCCGTACTACATCACTGACCTAATATCCAAGTACCACCCAACACGCACACTCCGCTCCTCACAAGACCTCCTTCTCTCTAGTTCCCTGGTCTCCACCTCCCATGCCCGCCTCTAGGACTTCTCCAGGGTGTCACCCATCCTCTGGAACTCCCTGCCCCAACCCATCAGATTATCACCTACTCTCTTCTCCTTTAGGCGCACCCTGAAAACCCATCTCTTCAGGGAAGCCTACCCCACCCCCTGCTAACTTGCCAACCTCCTCCACTCTTCCTACCACTCCATCCCTCACAGCTATCTCCTCCTGTGCCACCATCCCCCTCCCCCCTAGATTGTAAGCTCCAAAGAGCAGGGCCCTCGATCCCCTCATGTTTTGCATTGTATTGGTATTGTTCTGTCACATGTTCTGTCCCCCTTTGTAATGTACAGCGCTGAGCGAACTATTGGCGCTTTATAAATACTGTATAATAATAATAATATTGATAAAAAAAAATAACAAGCTTTGTAGCCGATCACTACCTTTTGTTGCCCTGAAGAAATATCTGCTCGTTTCACCGTGTCCTTTGATGTCAGTATTTCTCCCTGTGCTTTATGGAAAAGATGCTTTCCCTATATAGGCTGCCAGACACCTAACTGCATCCCCTTTGAGGGGCACATGCTTCTAAATGTTACAGAAAGGGTGCAGTGCAAAAAGCTAAGTGCTAGACTAACGTCAGAGCTTCAAAAATATACAAAAAAATACATAAAAAATAAAATACAATATTCTATACACATCGATATATCAATATATCTTAAAAGATTTTTTTTTTTTTTTTACAAAAAAACATATTGAGTTACTCCAAATGTGTATATCTTGATCATATAAAAAAAAAGAAAAAAAAATCCAGTGCACTGTGCAATATTGTGATCATAGATCAAAAACCGGATCAGAACCAGGTGCAATCATATATTTATTTATGTTTTCTAAAATGTCTTGCAACATTGTGAACATATGTCAAGAAAAAAAATGCAGAAGTCCATCAGACCACTTTGCTACAAATTCTTCCTGTGTTATGACAGAGGAAAGCCTCTTGCACATAATACTGATGTTTTTATTTATTACAGGTACTTGTATAGTGCAGTCAATTTTGTACATATATATTGTACATTCACATCAGTCCCTAACCCTCAAGGGGTGTACAATCTAAGGTCCCTAACCCTCAAGGGCATACAGTCTAAGGTCCCTAACCCTCAAGGGGTGTACAATCTAAGGTCCCTAACCCTCAAGGGTGTACAATCTAAGGTCCCTAACCCTCAAGGGGTGTACAATCTAAGGTCCCTAACCCTCAAGGGGCGTACAATCTAAGGTCCCTAACCCTCAAGGGGTGTACAATCTAAGGTCCCTAACCCTCAAGGGGTGTACAATCTAAGGTCCCTAACCCTCAAGGGGTGTACAATCTAAGGGCCCTAACCCTCAAGGGGCGTACAATCTAAGGTCCCTAACCCTCAAGGGGCGTACAATCTAAGGTCCCTAACTCTCAAGGGGCATACAATCTAAGGTCCCTAACCCTCAAGGGGCGTACAATCTAAGGTCCCTAACCCTCAAGGGGCGTACAATCTAAGGTCCCTAACCCTCAAGGGTGTACAATCTAAGGTCCCTAACCCTCAAGGGGTGTACAATCTAAGGTCCCTAACCCTCAAGGGCATACAATCTAAGGTCCCTGACCCTCAAGGGGCATACAATCTAAGGTCCCTAACCCTCAAGGGGTGTACAATCTAAGGTCCCTGACCCTCAAGGGGTATACAATCTAAGGTCCCTAACCCTCAAGGGGAGTACAATCTAAGCTCCCTAACTTACATTCATACATACACATAGTAGGGCCAATATAGACAGGATCCAATTAATTTACCAGCATGTCTTTGGAGTGTGGGAGGAAACCCATGCAGGCACAGTGAGAACATGCAAACTCCAGGCAGGTGTTACTGTGGCTGGGATTCAAACCAACAACCCGAGTACTGCCAGGTGGAAGTGCTAACCATTTAGCCACTGTGCTGCCCAAAGTTCCAATGTTTGTTTTGTGCATATTTGCACGTATGCTCATTCACACGTGCAATACACCCCTATGCAAAATCCAGTACCATTTATACCCATATGTGCATAATATACACACCTATACCCGTATTTCCTCATACTAGGCGCCAAAAATACTGACCAGAAACGCAGATTTTTCTATTTTCATAGCTATGAACGGTCTTGAACTGCCATTTCTCATCTTCTTATATTTCATGTGAAAACAAAAAAAATATAAAACACTGAAATTATACCCAAGCAATTGTAAATAGCTATAATTTACTGCTGCAATCCCCTCCTGTCCCCAGACCGACCACAAATTAGATACAAATAATAACTTTTATAATTGGTTTTAGCACTTACCTAGGAAGGACAGACTGATGAAGATGAAGAGTCTCATCTCTCCTTCCAGGGTGCGGTAGCTGGATGGCGGAGGATGTGTGGTCACTGGTGGATGGTCTGAATGTATTCTAGTTTACAGAAAGAGGATATGAGTGGAACACAAAGTGTATAAAAAGCAGAAATCATTTTTAAAAAAATAGGAAGAATGTTTTACGGAA